TTGACCACATCCAAACTTCGGTCTCAACAGTTGTACTATCTGCAACTGTTCCATTTATAAAAACAATGTATAAACTGACTGTAATTAATTTTCTGTCGTAAGTACAGCTCCAGGTACAGACACATTTTTTGTGTCTGGAGGGTGTCCACTGACCAGACTTGCAACTGTAATCTGAATATGTAACTTTTTTCAATTACAGATATGAAAGGAATGAAGAACAATTGCGACTTGAATAGGAAATGGATGGTATGTACGTCAATTTATTGCCATTTTAATAAAACGTCAGTTAATGAAGACCACAGTTAATCGATGTAATGCATATAATGCAAAGTTATTTTTCTTATCACTGCACTTTGAAATGTGTAGAAGAATATTACTACAAAGTTTGGTTTCTCCACACTTCATATAATACAATTATTACAGATTCTTTTTGTACAGTGAACAATGATGACCAAATATACATGTTTTGTGATTTAAATAAACAACAGTTTATATAGACTATCAATTAATTCATGTGATACATATAATGCAAAAAAATTTTTCTTGTTTTGTAGAAACAAATTGCTGCATTTTGAAATTTGTAAAAAAAATATGCTTATACAGTTTTAATCCTCCAAGATTCTATACTACATTCTTTTTGTACAATGAATAGTGACCTAACTGAATCTTAGGTCGTAACATTTGTACCATCTGCAACTGTCCTATTTATAAAAACAATCTATAAACTGACCGTAATTAATTTTCTGATGTGAGCACAGCTCCAGTTACAGACCCATTTTTGGTGTCTGGAGTCCACTGGTGAGACTCTCCACTGTAATCTGCATACGTAACTTTTCTTTCAATTTTAGCTAATGAAATGGAGGACTTACAAGAACAAAAACTGCATCTTGAAGAGGAAATGGATGAAAATGTACGTCGATTTGTTGCCATTTAAATGAAACATCAGTTAATGGAGACTACAGTTAATTGATGTAATACATATAATGCAAAATTATTTTTCTTGTTTTGTATAAACAAATCACTGCACTTTGAAATGTGTAGAATAACATTATTAAAAAGTTTGATTTCTCCACACTTCAATAATACAATTATAACAGATTCTTTTAGTACAGTGAATACTGATTACCAAATACAAACTTAGGTCTTGACAGTTGTACCATTTGTAACTGCTCGATTTATAAAAACAATCTATAAACTGACTGTAATTAATTTTCTCATGTTAGCACAGCTCCAGTTACAGACACATTTTTTGTGTGTGAAGGGTGTCCACTGATGAGACTCTCCACTGTAATCTGAATATGTAACTTTTATTTCAAGAAATTGCAGCTAATGAAATGGAGGACTTACAACAACAACAATTGGATCTTGAAAAGGAAATGGATGAAATGTACGTTGATTTGTTGCCATTTAAATAAGACGTCATGATGCTAAAGCTGGTAAATGAAGACCTTGAGGATGAGGATGGCGTGTATGTCAGGTACATGTACTGCCTGGACAGCAGCCTATTCAATCTATAGTGCCTTCAAGCTCACAGCTAGCCTGTGCCAGGCTCTCAGATAGTATAGTGCAGACGTATTAAAATGAGCAAAGTGAAAATAAGATGCGTGCGACTTGGGAAAGGGGGCGGTGGTGGCGAGAAAAATGGGAGATAGAGCCTGTTAGAATTTCTTTAACGACCCTCTTCCGCCCATTTTTGTCATGTCTGGATTCGGCTGTCAAAACTGTTAACACTTCAGTTAGCTACAATCATTCTCAAGTTTCTCGCGCAAGCATTTCACATGACGTGAACTCCTTGTGCGAATGTGTGGAAATTTATGTCTTTGAATTTGTTATCCTGTGAGATAACACCCTGTGAAATCCTTATATTGTAGGCGCTTACACCAGGCGTTAATACTTCTTTTTGAATGCTTAAATGGTATGGGACCTACTTATATTGGAAGCCTTTTTAAATACAGGCATACACCGTATAGGCTAAGAGGCAAGGGCTTGAATTTGGAATTACCTAACTTTAATCTTAAATTTAAGAGGAATTCTTTCACTTATTCATTAGCTAAGTTATGGAAAAAGTTTCCCTTCTCAAGTGCGTCTTTGAAGAGTTGCTAATGACTTCAGAAGTAAATTGCACAACTGTGGCTTTTTAGAACGTGTCTTATAGTACACGATTGTAGCTTTTAACTGTTTTTAGAATGAGTATTATAGTTTTCTTAGTCACGTTTTTAGTACATGGCTTTTTAGTCGGTTTTAGCTTTTTATATTTTATGTTTTTATTGCCAAGTTTTTTATATGAATAAATTTATTGAGTTGTTTTTAAAATTGAATAATATTATATAGCTGCAATTATTATAGATTTTATTTATACACGTTCGTATTTTGAACGAGTTTTTTAGCTCTTTGACGTAACGTGTTAAAATAAATGATTGATTGATTGATTGAGAGCATCTGGTTTTTTCCGCTCTAGTTTCTAGTTTCACCTGCCGAAGCAACGACCAGAAATACATCTCCTGTTCGCAGGCTACAAATTCGTCGACGGCATCTGCGAATCTTGCACTTGCTCATTCAAAGTGCTCCGGGTTTTATATATGCTCTGGAAGATTCTGCATTTTCACTGAGCAGATGTGATTTTAGCCGCTTGTTTCACACTGAGAGGTCATGGCACTCATATTGATTTACTGTGGCTTTTGTTTCTGGTCGGCAGGATTTGCCCTCTGATGAGAGAGCATTTTCTTTGACCTCTTTTGAACATAAAGCTTTTTATTGCCGCTGAATAAGGGTTTTAATTTTCTCCTAAGTGAACTAAGTGATTTTCTTTAGTCCGTGAATGTAATGGTTTTCTGCAATGTTGTATCACGCTGGACCAAGCTTGTTAGTTTTCTTTGTAGAATGTTAAATCATTTACAGATCCAGAAGCATAAGAATGAAGTGCAGCTTAAACTTAAGCTAAATCAACTAAGGAGAATTGGAAGGTGACTCTGTAAACCCCAGCTTAGTGTTTCTTTTACAATACTGTGAGTCTTTTGACTGGAGCACGTAGTTTCTCCCTCGGTAATAGCTTTTTAAAGCTTAACAGTCTTTGGACTGTTTTGTTATTGCCACTTTGTGATCAGCCAGGACTCCGGACTACCGAAAACAATTTCGCACTTTCCTTCTTTCGTTTTCTTCTCGTCCTCCTCTCCCTCTTCACCGATCCCAATAGCTGCAGCCGAAAGTCCAAGCTTTTTAAATTCAGTGTTCCACTTAGTCTCACATTATAGATATCAGTGGCGAAACGACTATTATCATAGAGTTTTCTAAGGTTAGAGCAGCTTTAACCAAGCGTGGGAATAGCTGAAAGATTAAACTTTTGCCGAAACCCGTGGGTATAATAGCAAAAACAACTTTACCGTGAGCCAAGTCGCAGACACTGGTCTAGCCTGAGATCAGGCCTAAAAAAAGCGCCTGATCTCACACTCGTCCAAAGCACAAGACAACGCGGATTCATCAAGATCACACGCACGATTCGCGTTGGCCATCTTGGTGATGACAAACTGATGACCACGCTACTAGGTGATGATGTTAACTGCCACAATTGACCAATCAGAGGGTATATCAGTAGCTGACATACTGGAACAGGCCATTAAAAAAATGCGTACAGGCTCTGCCGCCCTGTCTCTCCCCCGCCCCTGCGCGTTTTTCGCACTTCTTTTTACTGAACAACTTTTCATCACTATCTCGGAGCTTGGAACAAGCTAGCTAACACCAAGACTCATAAGAGGCTTATCCGGGACCTTCTCTTTGAAGATGATGCTGCCCTGGTTGCCCACACAGAATGAGCCCTGCAATGTATCACTTCCTGCTTCCTAAATGCTGGCCAACTCTTCAGCCTCGCGGTCAGCCTTAAGACAGGCCATCTGATAGGGTGCGATAAAAAATCAGAAATTGTGCGACATTGTTAGGGTAGATTGTGCGATAAGATAGGACTATTATGCGATTTTTTCAGGGCTAATTTACATTGTTTTACCAGGTTTCAAAGGAGAAAAACCACTTTAATATTGTTTACCAGGCAATTTGAATGTAAAGGAATAATAAAACATCTGTTTTAAAATAGTTAAATTTTTCTGATTATTTTGACCCGGGAAAGAAAAAGGACACTTGCTTAATATTACATGATGCCCTTACACCGCTGACCACATTGCTTGTCTCTGAAATCAAAATGGCTGTCCAGATACCGCGATCGAAGGTTTCAGATGCCTTGCAAGGCTTTCTTTTGTGGTAAATCACCTTAAATAACATTAAGATTGGGAAAATGTTTAATTAAAGTTAGAATTCATTGTTTACTTACTTGAATTTAGCATTTTTTACAAATTATGTGATTTTGCTCAAATTGTGCAATCAGATGCGATTTGAGGTCAATTGTGCGAAATCGAACCATCGCGTAATATCAGATAGCCTGTGAAGAAGATGGAGGACCTCTACCAGCCTGCCCCCGGGAAGTATGCCACTCGCCTCACATCACTATTCGCGAAACCAAGCTGAAATAAGTGCAGCAGTTTTCTTACCTGGGTTGTACCATCTCATCTGATGCCAGGATTGACAATGAAGTCGACAATAGGCTAGCCAAGGCAAGCAGTGCCTTCAGCAGCCTATATAAAAGGGTCTGGAACAACGACAATCTGAAGATCCAAACCAAGATCAGTGAATACCAGGCCATAGTACTCACCACGCTTCTCTATGGCTCCGAGGCCTGGGTCACATACTGCAGTCATGTCTGACTCCTTGAACCTTTCCACCAGCACTGCCTTTGCACTATCCTTAACATCCACTAGTGTGAATTCATCACAAATGTCGAGGTCCTTGAACAAGCTGAATTCCCCAGCAATGAAGCCATGCTACTGAAGTACAAGCTTTGATGGGCTGGTCACGTATCCAGAATGGAGGACCACCGCCTCCCTAAGGTGGTCTTCTATGGTGAACTCTCCACTGGCCATCGTGACAGGGGCACCTAAGAAATGCTACAAAGACTGCCTCAAGAAGTCTCTCAGTGTGTGTCACATAGACTGCCAGCAATGGTCTGACATCGCCGCTGACAGAGACGCCTGGCGCCACACAGTCCACAAGGCTGCTTCACAGTTTGAAGAGAACCAGAGAGACTCCCTCAAAGACAAACGACAGAAGAGGAAAGCTCAAGCTGCTTCAACCACTGAAAACACAGACCTGACCTATATGTGCCAACACTGCATGAGGACCTGCCCGTCTCGCATCAGCCTCCTCAGCCACGAATGGGCCTGCAGTCAGTGTGGACAACAACCTTCCTGATCTTCATGCGCGAAGCCAAGCCAAACAAATAAAATGTCAGTTAATGAAGACTACAGTTAATTGACGTAATACATATAATGCAAGGTTATTTTTCTTGTTAATGATATATGAAATAAATCATATATGAACTGCGGAAATTAAATGAAAATGAAGATTTCTTTTGTTTTCATTCAGTTTGTTTTAGTGTAATTATGTAGCCTGGCCTGCATCGAATAGCCTCGCTAACTGCAGGCCAGTCCCAATATACTTTGTAATTTATTTATGAATTTAAATAAAAGCTGAATGCAAAGCAACATTCCCATGGGTGTATTACGCAGATGGGGAAATGGAGATTTTCAATGCAGTTCGAGGTCGGACGTGCCAAATTTTGCTCCAGAAATTACATCGCTTTTGTTTAAATATGTATAGCGCTAAAAAAACGTTACTAATTGCGGGCAACATGGGGAGCCCACAATCCTAATCTCCAGGTTGTTATAATGCATGCATCTCATGTATGTAGCCTGCATTCATTTGGACTTCCACTTAGAATGAACGGAATGTACAGAATGAAATATGATCACGCATGTTTGGACCTTCTATCTTTCATAAACTGATCATGTGTATTTTGACTATCTCTCACATGAAACTTATGCAAAGCACAGTGATTTTGACCTTTGATCATTGCCGCCCCCACTCTGTAACCCTTGGTTACTACCAGTAGGCCTAACGTAATCATACCTACCCGCTTTGACTAGTTTTTAACTATTTGTGGGTAGGTACTATTCAAATTGTAATTGTCTGTTTCTTAACAGCGGGGATCCCTCGCGCGCAAAGCGCGCATGGGACAGAGCCCCATACTCATAGAATATGGTCAACCTCTTTTCATTTGGTTGTCACGTGACTGACCGAGCGTACGTACATACGTAAGCGTCTACAGATTGTACGGGTAGGTTAGGGGAGACTATCAAAAGGAAGGGAGGGGTGTCTCAGGTGTGTCTTGGCAAACCCATATCTTTTATATTGGCCATTCACAATATGGTCAATTGACAGCTGTCAAAACAGGATAGCCACTGACCAGTATCTCATTGCCATATCGGGGGCTCATGTGTCAACTCATCAAGGTGACGTGATTTACTTGGAAGCTGTCCGCTGATCAGTTGTTTTACTAGCTCGCAATCAATGTTCAATCTCGTACTTTCTAGGTAGCTAATTTGAGAGCACAGGAAAACTGGTAATGCACAGATCCATTGGACATCAATGTTGTGATCAATTGACAGCTGTCAAAACAGGGTATCTGCTGACCAGTATCACTTGACTGTATCGCGGGCTCAGGTGTTGACCCATCGAGGTCGAGTATTTTTTTGAAGTTATCCGCTGACAAGTTACTAGTTTTCAAATGATTGCAGGCTCAAGTTTGATTGTCTTTTATTTCATATGAAATATGTTTTGTTATTGTGCCGCACAATTAAAATATTGAATTAAAACTGACCTCGGACGCGAAAATCTAAACAGCTATTACAGGCAGGGAAGGCAGTTGCTTTTGACTTTGCTGACCATGGTCACGCGTTGGTCATGCTCTACGTCCAATTTTTACGCTCTGATTGGTCAAAATATGACAGGTGATCTTATGCGGATAATTTATGCAGCATCTTGAATCTTGTTTACTTTGACAGCTGAAGCTAACAGAGTTTTGTGTCAACTTGTGATGTTTTTAACTGTCATTTTCCACTGGATGCACAAAATGAAATTTAGCTGCTATCAGGAATCTTCTGTTATCCATGGCCAGTTGGTTTTTGGTTGAGAAAATAATACATTACTTGTCAAAGTCGGAAATCCGATTTCGGATGGCATTGATTTCCCTTTTAACTTTGCTTGATGCGTAAGGGTTGAAAAGTCTGAAGCGATACTGGCCTTCCTTGATACCTTTTAGGAGCTGCATGTCGAATGGTAAGCCTCAATAATTATTGTGTTTGATGTTTGTTTTTTATATCTAATTTAATGAAGTCGAGCGCAGTTTATGCGGCTTTGTAGTTTGTGCACATTTGTCGGATTTGAGACAATTTGATATGACCAAGAATCAGGTTTTATATGAGCTTACAGAACTTTAAAAAGCCTTTAGACATTTTCTCACCGCAAATAGAAAGAAAACATTCCAAAAAACATTTAGTTATAATTCTGGCTGTAAAAGAAAGCTTTGAGTGATTTTCTTGCCTCGAGTTCATCTTTGAAAAAAGTAAATATCGGGAAGCTGGCTTAAAACGTAAACTTAAGCTTTCAGGTTAAGCTTGAAGACTCAGGATTTTTAGGGATACTTTAATACTTGTCTTTGTCAATGAAAAATGTTGTCTCTGTACATGTTTCACTGAATTATATTTCTTTTATTGATTGTTGGTAGTCTCTCTTGTAATTTTAATCGCCGTGCCGTTTGTTTTCAATTGTTCAGTGAACATCGCTTGCAGGAGTACTCACAGACTGCCGGGGGTATCAAACCGGCGCTTTTAAAGATTACACATCGATAAAACCATTTAATAAAACTGAATAAACATAATAATTCCTTTATGTTGCAGCTTAACTCTAGTATGTTCGTTCAAGCACTCGCTACAGTTCGCACTGCAAAAGTGAGAACCGGCTGGCCGTATATGATTTTGGAAATTTTTTTAACGGTTTAAAAAGCCCACGCGTGCTTCAATCATCCTAAATATTGAATGAGTGCAATTTGTGTTGCAAAATTGTGAAATACTGCATTCTGTCCGAGGTCTGTATGATAAAAACAGTACCTCATAGTACTGTTTCACCTCAGATGTGATGTATAAATGGTATAAAAGGTTGGTTTACACGCACCCGGATTTGTTCGCAAGATTTTGTAAAGTAAACTTGTCAAACGCAAAAAAATTCGATCAAGAGCCATTATGGCTCCTAAATGCGATCGAAGATGATTGCTATTTTTTGGGTGTACATATGAGGCTATCAACTTGATGTAAGATTTTGTTCACTCTTAGGCTGTTTGCAAATTATTTTTCTCTAAAATCAGTCAGCCTTTCCCTCAAAAGTCACATGAACGTGCTATGTGCTCTAAAGTTAAATTGAATTGTGGAATACAAGTTTATTGTTTGATTTAAATTATAAATACATTAATGGGAGCCTCGCTTTTAGCCCTGGCTAAATCTATATATTAAAGTGTGTTGCTGTCAGAGTTTTTTAAATGTTCTGTCACACTAACCAGTAATGTCCACAAAAGTCAAATGATTCTTGTAGTTTCATCAGTGGACGCTCCAATTTTAAAATCAAGTCCTTGGCTACCAGCTGATGACCGTTGGCTAATCAATTTCAAACCCCACTAGCCTAAGGACTAGCAAGTGAAAAAGTTAAGGTCAAGCACTGGACATGTAAAGATCTATTAGCCCAAGAAAAAATGGGCAGTCTATGACTGCATGTGGCTTACTGTATACCTTCATCCAAGTAAAGGACGAAGTCTGACATTTGCAGACTTCATATTAAGCTAAATTATAATGGAATTAACCACAAGGAAACCAGAGTAGAACAAATAGCAAGAAAACTATGGGTATGCAGACGTCTACACATGTGTCAAGGTGATACAGGAATACCTGTCCTGCTAATGTTTAATAGGCACCAGTCCAAAAGATAAGTCAGAAAATAACAGAGTGTTTATTTGAGACGCTTGTAACAATATTGTGTATTTCTCACGTTAAGGTTTGTATTATATGTAAATCATCTATGAATTTTAAAAAGAGTCAATAACTACCCCGGCATACAATTATTTCAAGTGACACTGTTAATAAAACAGGGCAATGGCGCTAAATCAAAACAACAACGCTAAAAATTACTAACACTGATGATCAATAAAACTACACTATAATGTAAGAAGTAAACAACATGCTAAGAAACATGCTCGGTCACTAAAGAAGGGCAAGCGTGACAAATAGCATCTGACTCATGTCAAGAGTCATATGATACGAAACAAGAGACGAAAACAACAAAAGCTAAACAAGGTCAAACTGAGAGATTGTGATCTGTCATCTTGCACAAAACCGTGGCAAACTAAGCAGAACGCTATGCTAAAGGAATAACAACAGCTTTGTTCAGATGAATTACCTATCATTTTTTACTTTTTTGTAGACTTAAATTTGCAGCTATAAAAACTATCTTCTCTGGAGATGAATCTTGTTTTCCAGAGTTTCCAATTTGCAGCAATACTGTGTAAAACAGGAAGTGTCTTGTGAAGCATTTCCCTCACGTTTCTGTCTAAGTTTTCTAAATTTCAGTGACTATATGTATAACTTTTTTAATAGTACTCTGTACAGTTTTCGATTTCTTACTCTTCAAGTTACTACTTTTGAACATGCCAGGAAGAGGAATGACTCTTCATAAGATTTTGAGATCGCTCCACGACAAAGATCAGGGGCACATCCAGGATTTCTTTTACGAGGGGGTGCACTCGTCTCTTGCTCTACTTCAACACCAATAAATCACAATTCTTTTTTTTTGCACAATACCAGTTGTATTAGAAAACCGCAGGTCATCTCAGGGGCGGGTTGCGCACCCCCTGTGCCCTCCCCCTAGATCCGCCCCTGAAGATGTTCAGCTGCACTAAACACTTGATTGCACTTCAATGGAGTCATACATTTTCTGGAAAATTGGAAACTGAATTCTTTGCTAACAAGTTTTCCATAAATGAGAAGACAGCTTCACCTGATTCTAACACCTAAATGGTTTAAACTCATTATGAAAAAAGAACTCACTTTTCAATCGATGGTGTCAAACAACTTGGCAGCTTTGAGAGCACATGGCAAATAGAAGATTTCTCGCGTGATCACAAGCTAAAATTTTCCGAGTAACATTCCATACCATTCAAAGCTATTCTGACAAACATTTAACCCATGAGATTGAGAAATATAAGATCAAAATCTGCAGAGTCATTGTGAGCTTGGATTCTATCGTTACACTCACTCACTCACTCAATG